GCTCTCCCCGGGAGGAGGACACTCCTCTCTGGTTGGTCGGCTTCCCTGCCGATCATCATCCTCTACTCTCTAGCCCCGCCTCGTCATTCCGCCGACTGTCTGTCCGGTCCTGGGATCCATGCGAACCCCCCCCCCATTACAACGGCGAGTTGCACGAATCCGCAAAACCGAACGGAACCGAGGCGCCATGGAGCTCGCGACATGAACGTCAAGCACGCAGCGGGGATTCGGACGTCGGATCGCGGCGCTTCGAGTCGTGAACTCTCGCCATCAGGGACGGCTGGGACTTCACGGCAGTGCGTAGCGTAGCCTGCGGGTCGGCTGGAGAGACGGGCGTGGAGCCGCGGTCCTGGCGTCGCGTCGCGAACCGATGGAGCCGACGGGACCGCTGCGGGACAGCGAGAGGCCGATGTGTCACCTGTGAAACGTCGTAATGTCTGCGTCTCGCCGGAGAAACCCGCCGACGCCGCGGCAGTGAAGGGCTGCACGCCTGGCCCGCCTCCACCTCGGAAGACGTCGTATTTTCTTGGTTCCCAAAGTTGAGCTCTCCCCAGTGGAGAGGGGGGAGGTACCGCGGGCAGAGAGTGACTCTGGTCGGTAGGAGTTCCTAGAGGTCCTGGACCTGGAGGTGCGTCTGTAGGCCTGGACGTCGCCGCACTTCTACCCTGGAAACATTATCCTGATGCACGAAGTTGTGTAACTATTGAATCGCCGCATTTCCGCGGTTTTAAAGGAGCTATTTGACTTCTGTGTTGTTGTTGTGTTTGTTATTGTTGGGTTTTTTTTTAGCATACAGTGGCCCTATCTTTTCCAAACCAAACATGTCATCTAAAGACGGCACATGTCGGAAGTTTCAAGCAAACATCTTCAACAAAAGCAAATGCCAGAACTGTTTTAAACCCCGAGAGTCCCATTTGTTGACCGACGAGGATCTGAACCAGGTAATTAGTTGACAGAAGACACATCTTGTAATATGTTGTGCCACATGACACTGTCATAATCATAACTCACGTATTTGGTTCAAATGTTGACCCTGCTCAGGGCGGGATCATTAATAACCTAGGCCTTGTGTTTACATACCGCTGGTCTGGTTTATAGGATATTACTATCCTATAATGTGGGGGATGTGTCGTGACGTTATGTTCTCTAATAATGATAATAGCCTAGTAATTATTTTTTTTATTAACTTTGCCCACTGTCAGAAGTTAGGCCTATGTTTACATTTTGTGTGGATATTGTTTTGATTCTGTTATTCTGTCATTCACTGTAAAGGAGAAGTGAGTTGGACTGTTGTCAATGCATTGCTTATTATTATTATTATTATTATTATTATTATTACATGCGGCCTAACTGGAGACAGAGCTGGTTACAGGCTTCTTGGAGTTCAGATACATATGTGTAAGAAAGGACACCCTCATGTTTAATAGTGACTCACTTCATATGTAGTTACAGGAAAGGCTGACTAGAGTAGGGTGACTAGAAACATACTACTGTGGGTAAGCCTACCTACCCCCCCCCCCCCCCCCCCCCCCCCAGACAGTCTTCCTGCGGTCTAACGGAGGAGCAACACGCAGTCCGAAATGACAGCCTCTATGCAGCGGAGGGTAAAAGTTGACCTAGATCCATGAGGGACGGCATGAGGAGAGCTCCTCTCCGGGTCCCGAGGGGAGAGGGTTGTTTTCCCTCTCCTAATCTCCCAAACCTCATTCTCTCTCACCCACCTCATACATGTTACACTTCCAGATAAGACTAAAAATAACTATACAAATACAATATATGTACAGTTGTGGGCCTATATTAGCTTGTCTCTTCCCTTGTTGTTGAACAAATTACTTCTAAGTCTACAAGAAATATATTAATATATTGTGGCTCTTTGATTTGTGTTAAAGGAAAAATGTACTTTCTAAACATTTAAACATTTAAAGAATAGACAATGGATACAATGTAGCCTACACCATTGGTGGTATATGAGTTAGGTGTGATGTCTCGTCGAGGTTACTATCATGATATGGGCTGGTTACTATCCTATCATGATATGGGCTGGTTACTGTCATGTTGTGATATGGGCTGGTTACTATCCTATCATGATATGGGCTGGTTACTGTCATGTTGTGATATGGGCTGGTTACTATCCTATCATGATATGGGCTGGTTACTGTCATGTTGTGATATGGGCTGGTTACTATCATGTTGTGATATGGGCTGGTTACTATCCTATCATGATATGGGCTGGTTACTGTCATGTTGTGATATGGGCTGGTTACTGTCATGTTGTGATATGGGCTGGTTACTGTCATGTTGTGATATGGGCTGGTTACTGTCATGTTGTGATATGGGCTGGGTACTATCCTATCATGATATGGGCTGGTTACTGTCATGTTGTGATATGGGCTGGTTACTATCCTATCATGATATGGGCTGGTTACTGTCATGTTGTGATATGGGCTGGTTACTATCCTATCATGATATGGGCTGGTTACTGTCATGTTGTGATATGGGCTGGTTACTATCCTATCATGATATGGGCTGGTTACTGTCATGTTGTGATATGGGCTGGTTACTATCCTATCATGATATGGGCTGGTTACTGTCATGTTGTGATATGGGCTGGTTACTATCCTATCATGATATGGGCTGGTTACTGTCATGTTGTGATATGGGCTGGTTACTATCATGTTGTGATATGGGCTGGTTACTATCCTATCATGATATGGGCTGGTTACTGTCATGTTGTGATATGGGCTGGTTACTGTCATGTTGTGATATGGGCTGGTTACTGTCATGTTGTGATATGGGCTGGTTACTGTCATGTTGTGATATGGGCTGGTTACTATCCTATCATGATATGGGCTGGTTACTGTCATGTTGTGATATGGGCTGGTTACTATCCTATCATGATATGGGCTGGTTACTGTCATGTTGTGATATGGGCTGGTTACTATCCTATCATGATATGGGCTGGTTACTGTCATGTTGTGATATGGGCTGGTTACTATCCTATCATGATATGGGCTGGTTACTATCATGTTGTGATATGGGCTGGTTACTATCCTATCATGATATGGGCTGGTTACTGTCATGTTGTGATATGGGCTGGTTACTGTCATGTTGTGATATGGGCTGGTTACTGTCATGTTGTGATATGGGCTGGTTACTGTCATGTTGTGATATGGGCTGGTTACTGTCATGTTGTGATATGGGCTGGTTACTGTCATGTTGTGATATGGGCTGGTTACTATCATGTTGTGATATGGGCTGGTTACTATCATGTTGTGATATGGGCTGGTTACTATCATGTTGTGATATGGGCTGGTTACTATCATGTTGTGATATGGGCTGGTTACTATCATGTTGTGATATGGGCTGGTTACTATCATGTTGTGATATGGGCTGGTTACTATCATGTTGTGATATGGGCTGGTTACTATCATGTTGTGATATGGGCTGGTTACTATCATGTTGTGATATGGGGTGGTTACTGCCAAATCACAATAGAGGGTTGTACTGTCATATCATGATGATAGTCATACATCATGATATAGTTATATACTGTCATATAGAGTTGTATGCTCACCATACTGCCATATCACAATAGAGGGTTGTATGCTGTCATAGCATAAAATTGCATATTAATTGATATCCATATTTTGACCCCTGCAATTAGTTAATCGTGAAAGGTCGCAATTCATTTACTTACATTGAAAAATAAATATAAATGCATAAATAAACAGATTTTGTGCGCGCGTTACATTCAACTCTAATTTCAAACTCAGCAATTGGTTTTATTTTTATGTTTTAATATAGCCTACAGTAGGCGGCACAGAATATTAATTTAATTGATAATCTGTTAATCGCGTCGAATAATCGCAATCACAATACCGGGCTGAATAATTGCAATTAGCATTTTTGTCGCGCAGCCCTACTGTCATTATTACTATTACTATTGCGATATAGGGTTGTAACCGTCATATCATGATATTGGGTTCTTACTGTCATATCACAATATAAGTTTGTAACTGTGATTAGATGAGCTTTGTGGTGGTTGTTTCACAAATTAGTGTTGCTCTTTGATCTCAGTGAAATTGGGTTTGTGTCGGATTAGTGATGAATCTGCAATGCGTGTGCTGATGGGGGGGGGGGGGGGGGGGGCGCAAGGTCAGCTAACTTCTCCGTGCGCTGCTCTAGCTAACGGCTCAATCGCAAGCTTACGAGGTATTAGCGACACGGTTTGGTTCGTTAAGGTGTTTAGTGTGTTGACGCTGGGATTTGTGGAGCCCGAACAGACGTATTGAAACTAGGTGCTTCTGGTACCGCCTCGACCAATGGGACGCAGCGCTACGACAATAACTCTGGTGGGGGCGGGGCTTCGGAATGGGCTCTTGAGGTCTGGAAACCTGGCTGCCCCCCCCCCCACACACACACACACACACACACACACACACACACGGAATCAGCAGTGAGTCACATGTGCGTATTGCTCTGGAATGCTGCCAGCGGAGAGCTAGCAGCATCCTACCATCAAACGAGCCAGATTAGCTTTAGAGCTGAAGCTCGGCCCTGTGAACTGTTGGTGTAGCATGCCTTCAGTTAGCTGTCTGTCAGCGTCTTCTCTCTTCTACCTCAGCTTCTATGACGATGATGTGTTAAGAATACGTTATGTTAAGGATACAGTATATTCATATAATTATAACAACAAAAGTATTGTTTTTTTATCCATTGAATGGACCGGTTTTACTTCCTCAAGCATCCATCTCAGAAGAGGTGGATTATTTCTCTCTGCTAGAGTAGTCTAAAATGGTTTTATTTGATTTAATCTCGGGTTACAAAACAAAACATGAAAATGTTGAGCACTTATTTCCAAAGTGGACCTCAGTGGTAAAACAAGTACGTTACAAATGCATATCGTTTGCCTTGTTTAATCAGCATCACGTTATCTCACATCGCTGTATTGATGTCACGTCACTATTGATTTTACATCACTGTGTATTGTATTTTTGTGGGCGGGATAGTCTCGTGGTCAGGGTGTTTGACTCCAAGCCGAAAGGTTCTGGGTTTGAACCCCAATATCCGCAGTTCACTTGTAGGCATCCTGGAGCAAGACCCTTACCTGCTCCTTAATGACCTTTCTAATGTATAAAGAGTTTTTCTATGTTGTATTGGTGCTGTGAAAAAAAGAAAGACAGTACCACAACTGTACAGGATATAAAACAAAAGTGTATAAACAATATAAATATCAAATCCAAAATATTCAAAAATTGACCCTTTCGATGAAAGCATCTTCTAAACTTTGTTAAATAGTATTGATGGGCCAGTGCTATGTGAAGGTCATGGTGTATAGAACTGGCCTGTTAAGGAGGCTGTCTTGAGCCTGCTCCTCTATAACCACCTGCCCCCCCTCCCCCCCCCCCCAGGCCAAGCCCACCTATGGGGGATGGCTGCTCCTCGCCCCGGAGGGAACCAACTTCGACAATCCTCTTCATCGATCTCGGGTGAGTATGTTGCTAAGAAACGCTGAATCTGTTTTCATCCTCCTCTCAGGACACGCACAGATCCACCTCAGGCGGATCACATGCAGCTCTGATGATAATATTGATGTCATTTACTTTCAATGTTTAGGGTTAGATGTTTAGTCTTGGGGTTAGATGTTAGTCAATCCCAGAGTTTCTCTCCCTCCTCTATGTATGAGAGGTACTCACTCTAGTAAATTGTATTAGTATTGCCAGTTCCAGTCTCAAAGGGCTTCACAGGCCCACACTATACGATCCCCCCTAACTCTAAGCCCTCTAAAGGTGCTTGCACACTAACACACACCAATATCAATACCAGTGTGCCATACCCTTTGGTAGTTGTTGGCTGTTGTTTTTTGTAAGAATCGGCGGTGGTGGTGTTGGTGTTGGGTGCAAGCAAATGTGGGTTCACTGGCGCTTTAATAACATGCTTCTAGATGGCCCTAAACAACTCTACATAGCAACACAAGGAAGGCGCTACTGGGTATCTTGGGTTCTTGCATGAGAGACGAACTCTTTAAAAACGTTGATACACAAGTGGGATTAGCTTAATTAACGTCGAGTCCATCAAACAATTTCAAACAAGCTGCTGACACCCGCATGGACCATTTTTACGATGAGCGTGGCAAGCAAACCACTGATTTAAGATGAGCGCTGATCATTAGCACGGTGTCTACAATTTAGCCCTGCTTGTTAGCCTGTATCACGTAGAGCACAGCCTATCAGTCAACACGATCGCTGGCATTGCTATAGCTGTGGTGGGATGAGAGGGGACATTTCCTGTTCTCAAACCAGGGAAAATGTGCCCAGTCCAGGCTGAGTTTCCTCCTAGCTCCTAGCTCCCCTGGTGTGGCAGGGAGGAGGGAAGTGGTTAGTCTGGGGTGTGGGAAGGGTCCTGGCTCCCAAAGGACCACTGATGGCTTCCATATGACCCTGGGAAAAGATATGGGGGGGCAGAGTGATTGCGACTGCTGGAGCATTCAACTCTGTGATTCAACAGTCAACACAACCTCCTCCTCCTCCTCCTCCTCCTCCTCCTCCTCCTCCTCCTCCTCCTCCTCCTCCTCCTCCTCCTCCTCCATCTCCATGACTGTAGTCAACACCCCCCATGTATGAATGATTCAAGGAATAACATGGTGTGTGCGTCATGATTATTTATAATAATTCCTCGTGTAAAAAAAAAAAAAACAGCTTTTCTAAAGTTTGTGTTTCCATTGTGATGCAGAAATGGCAGCGGCGTTTCTTCGTCCTGTATGAGCACGGCCTTCTGCGCTACGCTCTGGATGAGATGGTGAGTACACACCAGTTTACATCAGTTTACACCAGTTGTAAACCAGTTCACACCAGTTTAAATTGGTTTATACCAGTTTAAAACAGTTTGCACCAGTTCCAACCAGTTCAAACTGATGCATACCAGTTCTAACCAGTTTACACCAGTTCCAACCAGTTGTAAATCATTTCCAACCAGTTTGACCAGTTCAACCCTGTCTGCTGCTCAGTGGTCATGATGATTTCTGCTGAAACTTTGATCTGACATTGATGTATGTGGTTATTAATTAATGAACCCATGCCCTCTGGGTTTCTACACAAAGGTGGAGAGTTTGGTTAGCCTGCAGGCTCGTCTGTTGACTGCTGGACTTGTTTAACGTTGTGTACAGTTTGACATATACCTTACAGGTTTACACACACATGTAATCATTTACATTCCTCCATGACTTCAGGTGTGTGTGTGTGTGCATACACTATCTACTATCAACAAACTGCATTGTCACGTGGTCATCCTCTTGCTAATATGTAACTGCTAAGCTGGCTAGCCTAGCAGTGTAGCAGTCACGTGTGTTGTTGATGTCAGGTGTTGTGAGCACTGTTTGTGTTTGTTAAGGAGGCTAAAATGGGTGGGTGGGTGGGGGGGACAGAAAAGACAGGTGGATGCTGCTAGCACGTTGGCTACGCCGCCGTCGGCTCCATGCCCCGTGTGTCAATGTTTGTTCGTTACGCTCGTGTTGGAAGGACCTTCTACAATTTCAGTGCATGTGTTGTACGTACGTGCGGGTGGATATGAGCCGATACAAACTGTGTTATCTAACAGTGGTTCAGGCGGAGGTCGGAGGTTGAAGGCTTGGCTTGTGTTCGTATGCGGCGTGTGTAGGAGTGTGCTTGAGGTATGAGCGTGTTTACCGGTGCTACAATATTTAGTGCTTCTGGGGGGACGTGGGGAAGTAGCCATGTTCAACTGTTCAAGATGACACTGGTTCACTCTATACTGGTAATACCATCTTGGTAGTACTAGTACCAGTACTACTAGTGTCAGCTGTGGTTACCACCGGAAAACATCTCTCACCACTCATGAGATGTTTCTGTCCATCGGTATTGCTGGGAGTGTGTCTCACATGATGAGAGGGAGAGATGGAGGGAGGAAGTGAGAGAGTGGGGGGGGTGACAGAGAGATGGAGGAAGAGAGAAGAGGGGGAGGGAGAGAGGAAGAGAGGAAGGGAGAGGCAGAGAGATAGAGGGAGAGAGGGAGGGAGGGAGATAATTACAGAGAATATGACAAGATAAAGATACCACAATGAGGGAGGGGGGGGTGGTGCTCTTCCTCCCCCTCTGCCTGCCACTCATCTCTTCATTGCCTTTGTAAACAACATCAAAAGGGGCGGAGGTCTAAAGCGGGAAATCTCAAGTGTTGCTAAAAACAGATGAAGGCAGATCTCTCTCTCTGTCTCTCTTTCTGTCTCTTTCTCTCTCTCGCTCTTGCTCTCACTTTCTCTCTCTCGCTCTCTCGCTCTCGCTGTCTCTTTGTCTCTCTAGTTGTCATATCAGAATATAGACGGCCGTAGAACAAACAGCTGTAACAAGTTACTCATTCAGAGCGTATAATCCTACTCTTCTCTCTTAATTTTAATAGATTGGCAATCATTACTCGCTTTCACAGGCATTACCATGACAACATCACCATGACAACATCACCGTAATGCTGTAGGGGAACAACCAATAGTGTTGGTGGTCTTTTGCAGGCCATGCATCAAAGATGACACCTTTTTATGGCTATTTCACAAAGCATCCACTAAAATCACAGAATTATTTATTGTACTTCAACACCAGGGGCCTAACTTTGGTTGTTTGTTGGTTTTTAGCATGACTGTAGCCACAGAGACTCACACACACACACAGACACACACACAGACACACACACACACACACACACACACACACACACACACACACACACACACACACACACACACACAGGATGTAGACAACCGAACATAATCTGACTTCTAGTGCACACACTAATGCTAACATGCATTTAGCAGGTGCAAACACTTAAGTGCGTTTGTGCCTTTACCGCGTGTTGGCATGCGCTAGATTTGTGCATGATGCATCCTTGGTGGTCTCACCTTGCCGTGTTATATTGGTTTTAACTCTGACCAGGTTACCATGACCAGGCACATGCACATCTGGTCATGTAATCACATGACTAGATCACATTCACGCCATATGGGAGACATTGGGAAAGTGGGAAGAATTCCCGTTGCTCAGAATTCATAGCGTTTACGCACCCACCATTATGGGAGATTGGGAAGGAGGGACGGTCACTAGACCATCTAGATATTCACGTTTGAGTTTTGCAATGATTATTAGTTATGATTACTTGCCTTGTCTGGGCAATACTTGATTTCTAAATATGGCCAAGGTCTTACATTGTTCAAAAAACTCCAGCCAATCAGAGTGATGCTCTTGCTTACTTCACTCTTGCCCAATCCAGTTGAAAATAAAAAAGCAAAAACATATTGTAATCTGAGAAAAGCCTTCTGCCTTATTTAGCTGTTAACATCGTTAATTCAGTCTATTTCAAATAAAAACTATTTGATTGCTAGCAAGATTGGGATGGTCTCACGAGGCTAACGTTGAAAATATGCTAGAGGGCAACGCAAAAAAAAAAGTTGGGTGGGGGCCTCGAAGATGTATCATGATCGTTAATAATATGAACTATTTACCACAGTATCAATTAACTACATAAAATAATAAGATATACAAAAAATGGCCCGCACCTTCTGAGAAATCGTTTTATTTGACGCCATCTTGATCCAATCAGTTCTGCCCAAGTCGGCGACATCGGATTTATCTGAAGTTGGTAAGACATCGGTGTGATACAAATCAATCAGTTAACATATTGATCATATTTGCATCCTCTGGAGGTATCATGCTAGATTTATCTCCCTGAGTGCAATCTAACCACAGCCCCACGTTTCCATGGCAACATGACTTTTTTCTTTTTCTTCTTTTGTCTAACCATGGCGTGGGCAACATGTGACAGGGAACAGTCCTCGCTCTTTTGTAAAGATCTCTCTCTCTCTCTCCCCCCCCCTCTCCTGGCTGTATGCCTCTGTCTCTCTCTTGTTATTCAACATGGACTGATTTTTACAGAATGTTCTGGAAGCTGAGTACTGAGCCAAGATTGAATGCTGTTGTCTTGTTGGTTCTACAGCAGATCCGCATAGATCTCTCTCTCTTTATCTCTCTCTTTATCTCCCTGTCTCTGTGTGTGTCCTCAAACCAAACTG